TAATGAAAGCCTTATGTAAAATGGAGGATAATAAAAATGGACAAAGAAATTAAGTAATGAAGACCTAAACTGGAGCAAAAGATGCAAATTTTACTATGGGTGGTAATAAGAATGACTTTGCAGAAAACAGTCTCTTAATGTAAGTAATGTTTATTGAGTACTTATTGCATATTCACAATGTACTATTATATATATATACATACACACATATATATATATATATATATGCATAGTAAATTATCATACTGATTCTCCAAGTTTGGTACCATGATTGCTGTCATTTTTAATGTACATGAGCTCATGTTCTATGCATCAGTGACTGACTTCATAACTTAACACATTTCCCCTCCATATTAAGCAATTTTGTTGCAAATGACAGAACTTCCTTATTTCCAAGGGCTGAATAATATTCAGTTGTGTGCATGTACAGATGCTTCTTTATACACTCATTGTTGATGGCTACATAAATTCATTCTGTATGTTCTCTAAAAGAAATGATGCTGAAGTGAACATGGGAATGAAAATGTTTCTTCAAAATACTGAGTTTATTTCATTTAGATAGATACCCAGAGTAGGAATATTGAATCATATGGTGGCTATATTTTTTAATTTTTTAGGTACCACAATCCACCTTTTGCAAAGTGGCACTGATTTATATTTCCTCCAATAAGATAGAAAAACATTCCATTTCTCTACATCTTTACCAGCTCTTGTTTTCTTTTGAATTCTCATAAAAGGCCTTCTTAAGGTGAGTGGTATTCAATAGTGGCTTATAATTTGTATTTCCCTGGTTATTAGTGACACTAACATCTCTTCATACACTCTTTATATGATATCTAAATTTCTACTACCTAATCAAAATCACCACATGTGACTATATTTCAAAGATACCATCTCTTTTCAGAACAGGACAGTTTGTTATCACTTTCTAATAACTATCAGTGTTATTCTTTAGAGTAATTCATAAATGTTATAATGCTGTAATGCCAAGTTTCTACACGTTCTTTATTTGAGAAACAGCAAATATTTAACATCCTTAAATTAAATGCCTTTTAAAGAAAGTGAGATTCATATTTTTAGACAAAATGTGATATTTTACTTACCAGGCAAAATAACAACAATAATTCCTTCAAGGGCTGAATCATGCACACTTCAAACCACATGGAGTTGATAATCCAAACCAGGATGTTTCATAATTCTCTTTTCATTTTTATTCTTCCCACGTATCTTTAAAGTCAGTTAAATCCTTCTAGATTTCAGCAGCCTTGAGGAAACTGTCCAAGTCCCTAAGCTAAAATTTGTTTACCTCAGAAGAAGGGTCATGGACCCAGCTGAGTCAGCCTTTGGGGGATTTGATTCTCTGTTCTGGTGCTCTGCTCTCTTGTCTTGGATAATTAAGAGGTGACTAAATGGCCCATGTAAATGGAAATATTTAAAGAGAGGCTGGTTGCCCACTTGTTTTCCCAACATCTGGGAAGGATTTGAATAAAATCACTGGCCCCTAAACGATGCTTCAAGGACAAATGCAGTGCTGACTACATTAGAATCATATGGGAAGCCGTTTTAAAATACAAATTTCTGGCCTCTCCTAGAACATGTTGAATCAAAGTCTCTGGAGGAAACACCTGGAAAGCTGTAGTATTATTTTTTTGTTGCTTTAAAGAAGTCTTCCTCACATGGGTCTGCAGATCTCCTAAGTTCATGAAACAGTGGTGGAGTTCAGAATTACCAAAGACTCAGCTGAGTGTAATTGTTAAAATGCACATTTTGATTCTGCAGGTCCTGAGAGCAGAGCTGAGATTCTACTGAATTTCTAAGAGTTTCCCATATTTGTTGGCTCAGACATTTTTAGTAACAAAATGCTAGATTATTTTTCAAGTTCCTTCTAGTTTTATTTTTCTGCACCTTGTAGAACAGTGGTTCTCAGCCTTCCTAGTACTGAGACCCTTTTAAAATAGTTCATATTGTGGTGACCTCCAACCCTAACATTATGTCACTGCTACTTCATAGCTGTAATTTTGCTACTGTTATGAATCATAATGTAAATATCTGTTTTTTGGTGGTCTTAGGTGACCCTGTGAAATGGTCATTTGATGCCCAAAGGGCCCATAACTTACAGGTTGAAAACCATTAGCATATTAATCCTCACTCAAATTCTATTAAAACTAATATATTTTTATACATAGGCTTTATTTTCTTATTTTACCCATATACAATGGATTTTGATCATATCCATATCCCACTCCATCCCACCTTCTCCAGACTTCCTCAATATGTTCTCTTCCCAACTTTTATATCCTCTTCTGATTTTTAAATATTCCACTGAGTCCATTGAGAGCTGTCCATATGTGCATGTGTGTGTGGACCATCCCCTGGAGGAGGGGCGACCTATCAGTGGCTACACCCCAAAGAAAAATGATTCTCTCTCCCCCTAGCCAATAATTCCTCACCTAGGGATAAGGCCTTCTGAGCTCCTCTCCTATTCATACTGAAATTTGATTGGATTAATCTTGTGCAGGTAAACTCAGCTGCTCATAATTTCATGAGTGCAAATAAGAAATCTCAATCCAGTTATAGGATACCCTTCATATGGGTTATTGGTAAGGGAGTCTCCAGAGCACTCCACCTCTCCCCCCAAATAAAGCAACTCAGGCTATTATTATTTCTGTTAGTTGCCCACTATAATTAGATTTTAGGATCCCATTGCTGAAGATACCACATACTTTGGTTGTAAGACATAGAGGAATTGGGTCTTTTCTTTTATTCTGTGCTGATACATTATATGCCAACCCCAGTTTCCCCTCCCTCCACACTTTTCCATACTCTGCCCACCTCCTCTCCTCCCATTATCCACCCTTCCTCTGTTTCCCTTAATAAAAGAGCAGGCCTCCACAAGGTTTATCAACAAACTGTTGGCATAACAAGTTATAATAAGACTGGGCACTAACCTTCATATCAAGACTAAACGAGGCAGCCTAATAGGAGGAAAAGGGTCCCAAGAGCAGGCAAAAGACTCAGAGACACCCCTGCTTCCACTGTTAGGAATCCCACAAGAACAAGATACACAACCATAATGTATATGTAGAGCTCAGATCCATATGGACTCTCTTATTGTAACTTCAGTCTCTTAGATGATTTTGTGGGATGTGTTCTTGTGGTATCCTCAACCCATCTGGCTCCAACAACTCTTCCTGCCCCCTCTTCTGCAGGGTTCCCTTGACACTGCCTGGTGTTTGGCTGTGGGTCTCTGTATCTGCTCCTATCAGCTGCTGGAGGTAGCCTTTCTGAAGGCAATTGGCTAGTCACTCTATGAGTATAGTAGAATATCATTAGGAATCATTTCAGTGGATTTTCATTGGATTTCCCCCTGCCATGTTTGGTTCTATGCTGGGTCTCTGGTCTAACCAGCACCTGGTTCCTTGCTGTTCAGATAGTATCAGGCATGGACTCCTTTTCGTGGTATGTGCCTCAAGCTGGATCAGGATCAGTCTCTGGTTGGCCAGACCCACAAATTCTGAACAATTACCCCAGAACATCTTGCAGCCAAGGCAGATTTTAAGCAGAAAGTTTTGTGGTTGTGTTGATGTCCCAATCCTACTGACTTGACTGGTTGTAGAAGATGGCCAGTTCAGGCTTTGTATCCTCCATTACTAAGAGTCTTTACTAGGGTTACTTTCAAAGATTCCATGGAGTTTCCAAATCACCCTCACGTCTCCCACAATTCCAGTTGTCTCTCTCAGTACTCTCTTCCTCCATTCCTTTTGCCCTTCTCCACTGACACCCATCCACACCTTCCCAGTCTACCTACAAAATCTATTGTATTTCCTACTTCCCACAGAGATCCATGTGCCCCTCTTGAGCCCTCCTTATTACTTGGCCTTTCTGAGTTTTTGGATTGTAGCATAGTTATCCTTTACTTTACAGATAATATCCACTTATAACTTAGTACATTACAAGTTTGCCTTTTATGGGGCTGGATTACCTTACTCAGGATGATTTTTTTTTCTAGTTCAATCCATTGACCTGCAAATTTTATTATGCCATTTTTAAACACATAGGTAATACTCTATTGTGTAAATGTACCACTTTTTAAAAATCCATTCTTCAGTTTGGGGAACATTTAGGTTGTTTCTAGTTACTGGTTATCATGAATAAAGCTGCTGCTATGAACATAGTTGAGCAAGTGTCCTTTTGGTATGATGAAGTGTTCTTTGGGTATATGTCCAGGAGTGGTATGGCTGGGTCTTAGGTACATCAATTCCAAATTTTCTGAGGAACAACAATATAGATTTCCATAGTAACTGTGCATGTTTGCACTCCTACTAGCAATGGAACAGCCCCTCCACATAGCCAGCTTTCATTGTGTCAGGTGATTTCATGTAGGCCTCTGGAGGAAAAAGGACATCAGTGGTCCTCTCCATTACTGGATACTCTATGTTGTAATGCTAACCTGATTAAAAAAAAGATATGTCCACTGGTGCAATAGTGGCACAAATGATGGGGAGCTAAACGGCTCCATTCTGATTGGTGTTGAAGCCTGTTCCATGGGAGGAAATTTTTGACTGTGCACTGTAAACCTTACCAAAAGTCTCTGGCTAGGAAGGCCAGCAGCCCTAGAGAGTAATCTACCATGTTGTTTTGCAAAATGATCATGTTGTCAAAATAACATCAAAATTTTTGTGTATAACACAGATCTGTGCTGCTCTCAACCTTTGTCAGAAAAGCTTCTTTTTGCAATGGGAAGCAATTAATGCAGAGCCTCATTGCTAAGTGCTAAGACTAAGTGACTGTGACTTGTCAGACCTAAGTAAAATATCTATATCATCCACACAGTGAGGCTCAGAAAATATTGCTGAAAAATGAAGCTAAAAAATGTAAGAGCTAGAGTATGGGGAGGACTTTTGAAAAACATTGTCTTCTGGACATAACAAGGCTATTGAACACAGGGTTTCCCCATTTAAAATGCCACGTATAATGAGCTTATTTTCTTTTACTTTCAGGTTTGTCATTTTTTCCTCTCCTTCAATATCAATACAGATCTGAAAGGGTCTCAGAAAACAAGATCCACCAAAGAAAATCATCCCGGGATAGATGACCCACTGTGCCCTGAAGGAAACCTTTCTTCTGTGTGAGCCAGGCCAAAAATAAACCCCACAAATTATCCTTCCAAACACCTGTAAAGTGATGATTATCATATGGGAATTTGAGAAGCTGATGTATGACATAGTTTGGAACCAGATGGAAGATATCCAACTTGCATGATGTCCCAAAGGCCTTACTACAAAATAAACAAGAGAAGAAAAAATTACCAATGTTTTATGTGTGCTTGCAGACTAGACTTCTCTAGTTATCATAGACAAAGCTAAGGCAAACATACAACCATTTTTTGAAAAGTTCCCAAATCATATGTAAAGGCTAACAATTGTGACAAAAATTTGCCGTATACTCTGTCTTTCTGACCCATTGACCAGCCATCTTGTGGAAAGTGCAGCTATTACTTATGGATTTAGACTTTGAATGACTATTAGGCAAGGACAGTTTCACTAGAAATAATCATGATTGATAATTATACATGTAACAAGACTGAAGGAGACAATATAGATTTTCGGTATTTCATTTATGCGGTGACATACACTGTTATTCTTGTGCCAGGTCTCATAGGGAACATATTAGCCTTGTGGGTATTTTATGGCTATATGAAAGAAACCAAAAGGGCTGTAGTGTTTATGATAAATTTAGCCATTGCTGACTTATTACAAATTCTTTCTCTGCCACTGAGGATCTTCTACTATTTGAACCATGACTGGCCATTTGGTCCTGGTCTCTGCATGTTTTGTTTCTATCTGAAATATGTTAACATGTATGCCAGCATCTACTTCTTGGTCTGCATCAGTGTACGAAGATTTTGGTTTCTCATGTACCCCTTTCGTTTCAATGACTGTAAGCAGAAATATGACTTGTATATTAGCATTGTTGGTTGGCTGATCATCTGCCTTGCTTGCCTACTTTTTCCTCTCCTCAGAACCAATGATGATACCCCAGGCAACAGAACCAAATGCTTTGTGGATCTTCCTACCAGGAATGTCAATCTGGCACAATCTGTTGCCATGATAACTATTGGAGAGTTGGTCGGGTTTGTTACTCCTCTTATGATTGTTCTATACTGTACCTGGAAAACAGCTTTATCGTTACAAAATAAATACCCCATTTCTCAACATCTTGGAGAGAAAAAGAAAGCTCTGAAGATGATTCTGACCTGTGCAGGAGTATTTCTAATTTGCTTTGCACCTTATCACTTCAGCTTTCCTTTAGATTTCCTGGTTAAGTCCAATGAAATTAAGAGCTGCCTAGCCCGAAGAGTTATTCTAATATTTCATTCTGTGGCCCTGTGTCTGGCAAGTCTGAATTCCTGCCTTGACCCAATCATATATTATTTTACCACTAATGAGTTCAGAAGACGTCTTTCAAGACAAGATTTGCCTGAGAGTATCCAACTCCATACAAAGTCATACAAAATTGTGAGTAACCATACCACTTCTACAATGGGAACTGACCTATGCTAATAAAATCCAGAACTAAATGTGACCTAGAATGAAAGTACCAGAATACATTTGCAATACCCCGTCAACAAGATAGTACTCATAGAAAGTAGTCACAACTTTTAAATGTGTTCTATATTACTTGAGTAGGGAATGCACATATTTATGACAGGACCTAGTTCGAACATTATGTTTCATCATCATTGCTGGTGACATGTCTATGCAGCAATGTATGACCAAGTCTTTAAGACTTAAGTGGTAAAATTTTGATGACACTCTACGCACATATGCTCTCAGCTAGAGTCATCAACATTATCTGTGAACCTAAGTCACAAAGAGATTACTAGCTCAAGTTCACCTTAAGTACTGGGTTTTCTTACCTCAGATGATGAAAACATGTTCAGAGGGAATGCAATTGTCTATTTGTAGTAGTGATCACGATTTTCATTCCAACAATATTTGGTAATGTTTAAAGTGCAATGAACAATACTTTCTGTACACATAACATTACAAAAATAGGATAATTTTTATCTCCAGGGTGTATTCCATTCTATGATTTGAAAACTCCTTTGCTTGGTTTCTTTAGTATCAATATGAAATAACATCTGTCAATCTAATCATTGAATGAAATTATGAAATCGTGCTTTGGTATAATTAAATTAAGAACAGCAAAGCAGTCATGACATACAATAATCATCTATGATTGTATAAAATATTACACTGAATATTCCCAGGGCAGATAGTTTTCTAGAGTCAACTCAATATGACTCACATGGCCTCTAGGCCTAATAGAAAGGAAACAGGAGACAATAACAGTTCTGGCTCTCTTAAACTAGTTCCAAAGAACACCTTCAGAAATGTATGAACCTGCCTAGTAGAGGGATTTTTTCATAGTGTTTTAGAATTACATTGATGAAATCTAACAGGCTACTGCACTTACTGAGTCTATGGAAGTAACAGTGCACCAATTATTCACTAAGCTTGGGCCAGAGTGAAAAGATGAAGCAAACTGAAGCATGTCTCTTAAAATCATCACTATTGTCCTTCATTCTCCAAGCTAAGTTGTGCCTGTCAATGCATCTCCAAAGCCAGAGTAGGGCTTGAAGACACTGGTCATGTGGACTTTCAAGTCTACATTTTTTCAGTTAAGTTTTATGAATATAAAGCCTATATAGATTACCTCTCAGAAACTGTTGAAAGCAATTCTTTCATTTTTTTGAGAAGCTAATTCCATCAGCCTTAGACACTCCTTACAAATGCTTTGCCTATTACCTGCTTGGTACTATTGCACTGGAAAAACTGGGGTATGTGGCTGTAAGTACTAGAATAGTCTTATTATATACATTATGAATATTATCACTTTTAAAATGTTTAACAAGGAAATAGAAATAGAACGCACTCTTCTTTACATTGAGAAAAATGCAGAAACCAAGGAAAGACATTTTTAATATTCAGAAAAATAGGGTAGTTTTAGGCATATAGTTAATTATCCTATATGTGAGGGGGGAAACTAGTTAAATCACCATGAATTCTAACTACCAATACTACTGGAAAACTTCTAAAGTTTTGTCTGAGCAAGTATTGATTATGCTTGTATATTTTTATGAGAATAATACTGGATTAGGAAAATGACTTGTGCTGCTAGCAACAGTATATTTATGTATTTCCTAGTTATTCCTTGTAATGTACATATGTTTTGGTATATTAAATAAGTGTTACATTTTGTTTTCAAAAGAAACTATAAGTGTGTTTGTTCTGTTTGTTTAAAGTTATTTCTGTTTTTAGTGCAGTTTGTGTTGTAATGAGATTACGAGCAATTATTTGTGGAACTACGAAACAACTGTGGGTGCTTGGAATAGACCTCCCTCTTATAACATCTACACCTACTATTTTTTGTAGCATGGCTTATTAAAGTCACTTTGGGAGATAACTGAACTTTTTCTAACATTGATTTCACTATAATCCTGTTATTTTTAAGGGGGAAAGTATTTCTAGGATACTATTTTGACAATCTTGGAGTGGTTGAGGATATATCTCACTTGTTAAGCAGTCCTTTTACATCATTTAGGTAAAAGAAAAGTGTGTAAGGATTTTGTGCTATTTATCTACCCAGACTTGCCCATCTAGGTTTGTATTCAACATCTGGTTTTCCTGATTCTTCATCTTCCACATCAATATATTTGAATTTTGCTCTATCCCCTGCCCCTTCTAATCAACTTATTCAAATTAAGGTGCTAATTATTAAAGTTAACTTCATATTAATTTATCACAAAACACCTGAAGTTCATACCATAGGAACAGGCATTAACATGAAGTGGTGACATTCAATGGAGGGATTGCAGGCACAGGAAGATGTTCTGGGAGCCCAGACACTCTAAAGAGATGTTTTTTTAAGTAAATTTTATTTAAATTAGAAACAAGCTTGTTTTGCATGTCAATTCCAGTTCTTTATCCCTCTCCTTCCCCACCCCCCACCAACCCCCTATCCCATCCCCTTTCTGCTCCCCAGGCAAGGTGAGATCTTCCATGAGGGACCTTCAAAGTCTGTCATATCATTTGGAGCAGGGCCTAGGCCCTCCCCCGTGTGTCTAGGCAAAGAGAGTATCCCTCTATATGGAGTGGGCTCTCAAAGTCCATTAATGTACTAGGAATAAATACTAATCCACTACCAGAGATTAATCGGACCTCCAAACTGACATCCTCATTCAGGGGGTCTTGAACAGTACCATACTGGTTTCCCAGCAATCAGTCTGGAGTCCATGAGCTCCCCCTTGCTCAGGTCAACTGTTTCTGTTAGTTTCTCCAGCCTGGTCTTGACCCCTTTGCTAATCACTCCTCCCTCTCTGAATAATGCATTACAAATGACAATATACTTTGCTTCCCATTATGAGGTTACTAAATTCCAAGAAATATCACCATGAACATGGATATAACCTGTCAAGATTTTTTCTTGAAATGTATTTTCCCTCTCTCTCTTCTAATACTAGACTTAGCTTGCAGAGAAAAATCTAATATAGGAAAGAAATAGTACTGCTAAGCAGTTGCCTCTTTTCTGATGTTCCACTCTCCTTGGAAAATCTCTTCTTCAGATCTCCTATTTATCATTTTAGGTGATAAATGACCAAACATAAAAAGAATCTTAGTTGTGGTAGTGTATAGTTAAAGATAAATCATCTCATATTTCTTTTATAAAGATTTTAAATTTTAGTCTCAAAATTAAACAAATTATTTGAATAAAAATTTTATTACAGAATGTTTTTGTGCTATTAATATTGTCTTTTTTATTGCTCATACTATTTTAATGAAATGGTTTGTGTGTTATAGATTTTCATTGTCATACAATAAAACACCAAATTCTATTAGCTGGTGGTTCGTGAAGAGGAGCTCTTTGCCCTACAAACAACCATGCTCTATAAGGATTCATCAGTGGAACTCCATACAACTTCATTTTTATGCCTCCTTTTGGCTTACCTTCCAAGCTACTGTGAAATGTTGTATCTGGAGTTTATTTATGACTCTTATTTATCATATGAATTTTAATAATAAAGGTTGTCTCTAATAGAAACTTTCTGACTCTGGATCATTCTATGATCATTGCTTTCATCAAACTGGTAGACTTGAGGACTGCTAGTGAGGTCACATACATGGACTTATGTTCCTTGGGGTCTATTCTTTCTATTAACCTACTGGAGTGGTGGATCTATTTTCAAAGATCAAGATGAGTCATTACCTCTGTGTCATCCTACCTCAGGCTTCACCTAACCTGACTTTGTTTTGTCTATCAATTTGTTAATAATCGTGTATATATCCCTAGACTGTTTGTGAAACCTAAGTATATTCAGAAATAACCAAATTTCTATAAAGTACATATTTTAGCTGTTGCAGAGAGACCTTCTTAGGAACTCTAAAAGGGAGTTTTTAGAAGTGAAACATCTGATGCTTTGGTAGATCTGAAGAAAATAATAAATTATAAATATGACCTGCACCATGCTTCAAGTACCCTCAAAGCACTTAGAAAACTTTCCTGCAGCCCTGTGAAACCATATAAGAAGCAACTTCATTACCTTTAAAACCATATTCTGCTATAGTAATGGTAGGGGAAGAAACTGAGAGATGAACATCAAAAAATGTAGCTGCTTAAGCATACATATTTCTTCAGTTTTTAAAGGATGTGGTCTGTGTGGAGGGGTAGGAGACTATATGGGCACACTTCCTTGAACTTCACAGACCATTTCCTCAACAGAACCTCTTTAGCTTTAACTATTTTGCCAAGAGTGCATAGCTACTTGTTGTCGACTATGTTCATTTCTTCTCACTTTTTTCTTTTTTAAAAAAATTATTTCATTTTACATTTCAACCACATTTCTCCCTCCCACCCCTTTAATCTCCCCCTAGCCCATTCCCAGTCCACTCCTCCTCATGGGTAAGGGCTCTCATGAGGAGTCAACATAGTCTGGCACAATAAGTTGGGGCAGGGCCAGGCCCCTCTCCCATGCATTAAGACTAAGCATGTTATCCCACCATGGGGAGTGGGCTCCAACAAGCTAGCTCATGTACCAGATTTGTATCATGGTCCTACTGTCAGGGGCCCCTCAGATAATCCAAGCTTCACAACTATCTCCCACATGTGGAGGACCTAGTTTGGTTCCCTGGAGTCTCTGACCCATCTACAGACACAACACACGTTCAAGTCCTAATCTTACCTTCTTGTGCATAGTCAAAGAATAACTGGATAACTTTTCTGTAGGTAGACCTGTCTTTAGGCTTGGTCATGAAATCTCAGTGTCCTTTTGTTTTTCTAAGAGTCTTTTCAGTTTGATTTGGGAACATAATAGTATGGTACAAGTTTTCAGACCTTTGCAATATTTCATATCCAAAACTTATAAGAATACAAATAGTAGTAAAAGTATAATGGGTTTCTGTGAGGAAACCTCGGAAATCTACGGGACCTCCTAGTTGGCTTTATTTATTCCTTTCAATTGCTTCAGAATAATATATACTTGAGATACAATGAAAATAAATAATATGATGAAAGTTAGTTATATATGATTTATTTAGTGAATATTGTTGGTTGGGAAGCTGTAAAAATAAGAGGTGTGTGTGTGTGTGTGTGTGTGTGTGTGTGTGTGTGTGTGTGTGTGTGTGCGTGCACACATGTGAAATTCTATAAAAAATAGTAGTAAAAGTAAGTCAAGTAAGAGGATCACAAAAGTGAAAGTTTGAAAAATCATTGTGAGTTTAAGGAATGTGAACCTAAAGTGATTGTACTCTAAACTCCCCATCCTGTCTTTGAATAATGTAAAAGATATAATATTAGCAAACATTATCTGAATCACATTATTGTCCTTCATTTTGCATTCTTCTATGGAGAAGTTCAAACATATTGAAAGAAGACTGGATATAATAAACCTCTATTATTCAGTTTCAAAGAATATCAACAAATGACACATCTATATTGCTGATTCTCCTTCCCCATATTTTATTAAAATACATTTTAGCATTAAAAAATCCATTTGATAACACTTAAGTAAGTAACAGTACTACTTAAATGAACTATTTGAAAAGGTAATTAGTAGGAGCTAAATTTAAATATTTTTCAGTAAGGAAAACAAACACTAGATTCCAGTAAGTAAAATTCCCTTTAGATGAATCCAAAACAATTCCAGTGTATTAACGTGGTTCTGCTTCATTGATGTGGATCTTTTCTCTATTGCAGAAGTGTGATTGAGACTAATGCTGAACCCAGTTCATGTATTCCTGGCTCCAAACATATAATAACAACCTATAGCCATCAGGGAAAGGAGTCTAATACTGTGAGAATCTTTGAATGTAAAAATGCTAGTATTGGCAGACTCAATTTCTACATTTTAAGGAAAACTGAATCTGAGAATTTATTTTTGTAGATATACAGCCTGAATTTTTCTGAAACCTCTGGCATGGTTTTGTGAACTTTATGACCTATTTTATTTGTTACAATCTATTCTGATAAAGGAGTATTAAGTATCTGAGGTTCAGATAGTGTTAATAATTCTGTGACCTGAACTACACAAAAATACAGCTTTTTCATATAAAATTCTTAACCTGTATAGTGGCTTTTCTTTATGGAATATTTGGGCATTCAGACTTTTGTCTTGAAGCATCGATATTTCTTGGATGCTTTTCTAGCCTGAATCATGCCAGATGTTGTTTTTCCACAAAGGAAAATCTATTTTTTATTGTTTGACAGTTCTATTGATTTGTATTATGAATTTTTGTCATTTTTACATCCTATTCCCTTCTGATCCTTTCACCCATGTGAGAATCTTTCTTCTCAACAAGTCCCAATCCTTGTCCTCAGTGGTATAGCCACTGACTTGTTCTAGCTCCAGTAACTGTACCTAATCCTAAATAACCTCCTACACATTTTCATCCTTGTGTCACTTCCAGATGCAAACCAAATTGCTACTTCCACATTGTCAAATTCTGCCAAAACACTATTTTGTATCATTTCCTCTGGGGGCAATTTGTAGAAGACATGAGACCATTTCATTGAAATGCATGAAATGTAAATGATGATTTCCTTCCACCAAGAGAGCCACTCACATTAATTAAGAGTGTCTTTGTATTTTTTGCTCCTTTACAAGGAAAACATGTTTTCTTCTTTCCTTCCTCCCCATCTCTCCTTCTTTCCAGTGTTTTAACATCATTTTCATTTTGTCTATCCTCCAAGAATGCAATAATCCAACCAATGTTATGACA